GGAAGTCCAGTGAAAGTCTTAACACTCCTTTGGTCACACATAGATAGTAAACATACTCTCACTTTTAGATATGAAAAGTAATTTGAGTTCATTCCTCTGTAATAACTGAGCTTCAGTTAGGCCTCTCCATTTTTCCTGCTTTAGCCACATTGGAGCCACCATTTTCGCTGAGAAGGAGAACATAATTGTTATTGTTGTTGTTTTTCCTCTTGTTTCCATGACTTTCACTCCTCCTTCTCTTCCCTGATTTTTCCAGAGATAGAGCAGAAGAAAGGAGACATAAAGGACAGAAATGACCTTACTTGGCTAATATTATAGTAGACATAATATTATAGACTAGCTGGGCTTAGTCTATGCCAAAAGCTCTTGAGAGGGCACTTTTTTGGAGGCATTTTGATAAGTTCTTTAGAGAGTTCAACCACGTTATTAGAAATTTTTCTTACCCGCAGTTCCCTTGAGGTGGGTAAATGCACCTTCTTCAGGTGGTCAGGTTTCCTGCCTCAGCCCCTCAGCATCCATCATTGCAACTCCAAGTCTTTCTGTTGCATTTTCTTCATTTTCTTCACACTCAGCCTATCCCTTCAGGAGCCCTGCAATAAAATTCTATGCTGACTCTCTAACTCATGGTCCATGGAAAATGCTCACATGTTTTTTGTCCTAACAAACTTTGGTGCACAAGTAATCCCTGGTGCAACAATATCTCTTCTTGGCAATCGGGCATCAGCCAGCCAAAATCTCTTCTCCTGAAGATTTTTCAAGTATAGTCAAATCCCAGTTTGCTGACTACCTCAACCACTGCCAACAAGTTCCAGAAGATACATATCAAATTTTCTGAGATGTTCCATTAAAGTCCCTTTCCTCTGCACTTGGGATGAGAGAAAAGTAATCTTCTACCTTGGAGTTATGTGCAAATCATATCACATCACAACTTTCTCCAAAAATCCTCTTCTAATTATCAATGTCTGCTTTTTGATAGACTGGAAATAGGTAATTAATTCAGGGATCTGAATGCAGTTATTAATGCTCTCCTTTGCAAGTCTGGCTTAAGTAATTTTATACTTCATTTTGTAAAATAGAAATAGTAATCAGTTTTTTGACTTATTATCTTATCTCAACATGACAACTTAAACTGATACAAAAATATCCATTTTAACATCCTATTACATGCACATATCAGCTGCTTGCTTTCATTACAAAATTATTTTAGCACACATTGATTAATACATATCTGTTAACTTCAAAGTACACTACAGGGACCCATGGTGATCCTACTCTAGCAGAAGAGATAAAATAGGTAGCAAAAGGTAGCTAGGTTTACCAAATCTGCTACTGCCACTATAGGGTAACACAATAGTTCTAAAATACCTCTCTCATGGGACTGTTATGAGGAATATCAGAGTTAATATTTATACAGTGCTTAGAATACTATGTTTGTGTTTAGCTGTTAAGACACTCAAAATCAAAGTGGGTAGAGTAATTTTGATGGTTGCATAGGCTTGTAGTATATGTTTTCTCCTGGACTTATTATTTTCTACCATATTTCTCATGATGCATACTTTTAAATACATGTCATTGTAAGGCATTTTGGTATTTTGTAGAATGATTCAGGTAATAAGCATACAGCAAAAGTTCAGTGAAACTGGAAATTTTATCAAATGACCTATGGAGACTTTTTAAATTTTTTTCTTTTCTAACCCAGATCTTTTTGCAGGCACTCATTATCTTCTCATTCCAGCAGAATTCCTATTCATTCATTTTCAGTATATTATTTAATGTATTATTTGCATTTTTAGCACACGTGATAAAACACCACAGGAGCGATATAAGTTGACTTTATTAAGCAAATGTACATTTTTGTTAATTTTTTATTTTAAAAAAATCTATTAAAATACTATTTTAAAAAATTACATTATCTACATCATTCGACAAACCTAAAGGAAATCAAAATTTTTTAAAAATTAAAAACCAGACTAACTTCTTATAAGAAAGTGATGCTTTATGGACAGCACGAACCAGGAAAAAATCACAAATATTTAGGATATCTACATGAAGGGGATAATGCGCGGTGTTGCAAAGCATGTTTAAATACTTTCCATCAGCAATGCAATTTTATACAGAATTTTCAGTGTAATCTGATGCAAATACTCTTACTGCTTGCTTCAATGATGAAACGCCAACAAAGAGTCAAGAGAATAAGGTACAAAACTTTAGACTGCCAACATTCCAATTCAAATTTTTTACAGGAAAGGATGGGATATATGTTCTTTAAGTCTCTCTTCTCCCATGTCATTCCTCTCAATTGAGATTTGACAAAGGGTGAACCACAGACCGTCTGAGGTTATGTGCTCTGACAAGGGTCTGCAGCACAGGTATTCTGTGCTACTGATTAAGGGAAAATCCACAAGCTTTAAAAAACAACTGAGCTCATGGTAGAGTTGACAGTCCTTTTAGAGAATGTTTCTCAGAGGCAGAGGACATAAGAATGTTTCTTTGCCACTTTGTATTATGGAATTCTAGATTCAGTGCTAACAACTTTTTAGTTAGAATGATTTGTAACACTGCTTTGTATAATTCAGGGAGAGGGTTAATTTTGGATAACTACATCTTAACTTCAATTTAGCATAAATATAATCTAATAATGAAGGGAGTGAATTTTAGTTTTAGGACATCTCTATTAAGCTATGCAACCTTGAATGTATCTTTGTACCTCTCTGTGTCATAGTTTCATCACTTATAAAATAAAGAAATTGAGTAAGTTTCAGGCTGTTATTATTTGATGGTTTTTGTGAATAGTGACTAAGAAACTGTACTCATTGAATACTTATCTGTGAATCCTATACCCTTAGAATAATTTTCTATATTATGAGCATTTGTCAGTTGGCTCTAAATCATTGCTCTGATTTCACCAGTTATTAGAAAGAAGAATTTCCAGCCTCACTTTTCTTGTGAAATGGAAAGAGTGGATTAAACAAGCTATTTTAAAGGATGTGAAAGGATATTCTTTCATATAGGCAGCTGTGCTTCTGTTTTGTGGCAACCTCTGGGAAGAAGGCAGTTCAATGATCTTGAAAATGTGTCTTTTGGAATATCAATTATCCATGAAAGAGGTGTCTCAACCTTACACAAATGTCAAAAATCTTGCTTCTACCACATATAGTTTTCCAAAAGTTTTTTTTTTTTTTAAATATGTGAGGTACAGTTCAGGGTTAGGTATACAAATGTTCATTATGCAGGTATCCTTGTTGATGAGATGCGCACCCCTTCCACTGGCAGTTTCCCACTGTTGCCAATACCTTTCTTATAGTATTACCACAGTTGTTCAATGTCCACCTATGAGTGAGAATATGTGATACCTGGTTCTTTGTTTCTGTGATAGATCACTCAGTATTATAGCCTCATCATCCAAGTTGCTGTGAAGTTCATAGTTTTATGAACATATTATGTAGCTTTCTTTATGGCTACATAATATTCCATCGTGTATATGTACCACATTTTTTTATCCTCTTTCAATGGGCAGCATGGTCAGTTCCATGTTTTTGCTATTGTGAATAATGCCACATAAACATGTGTGTGCAGGTATCTTTTTCAAAAGGTGATTTGAGTTCCTCTGGGTGTATTCCTGGCAGGGGGATTGCGAGATTATAGGGGAGGTCGATTTTTAGATCTTTTAGGAATCACCAAACTATTTTCCACAGAGGTTGTACTAGTTTGCACTCCCACGAATAGTGTAGAAGTGTTCCCTTTTCCCCACATCCTCTCCAGCATCTGTTGTTTTTTGAGTTATTGATGATGACCATCCTAACTGGAGTTAGGGGGTATCTCAGTGTGATTTTAATTTGCATTTCTTTGATGACTAGTGAGACTGAGCATTTTTTCATGTCTCTGTTGGTTGCTTGTATGTCTACCTTTGAGAAGTGTCTATTCATATCTTTTGCCCACTTTGCAATGGGGCTGGATTATTATTATTTTTTTCTTGGTACATTTGAGTTCCTTGTAGATCCTAGATGTTAGGCCTTTGTCAGATATACAGTTGGCAAATATTTTTTCCCCATTCTGTGGACTGTCTCCCGGCTCTCTCAATGATTTCTTTGGCTTTGCAGAAGCTTGTCAGTTTAATGAGTTCCCACTTGTCTATCTTATCTCTTATGGCGTGGGCACTTGGGTTTTATTTTTAATTTTTATTTATTTATTTATTTTTACCAGGAATTGGCTGCTGTTCCAATTTTCATAAGGTGTCTCCTGCATTTTCTAAGGTTCTTATAATTTGAGGTTTTATGTTTAGGTCTTTGATCCATTTAGAGTTGATGTTTGTGTATGGTGAGAGGTGCGGGTCTTATTTTAATCTTCTGCATATGATCAGTCAGTTTTCCCAGTACAGTTTACTGAATAGGTTCTCCTCTCCACAGTGGTTGGTGGTGGAAGCTTTGCCAAAGATGAGTTGATTGAGAAATTGAGACTTTGCTTCTGGAATCTCTATCCTGTTCCATTAGTCTATATGTCTGTTCTTGTACAAATACCAGGCTGTTTTGATTATTGTAGCTTTATAATAAAGTTTAAAGTCTGGGAATATTATACCTCCCGCTTTGTTTTCTTTCTTTCTTTTTTTTTTTTTTGCTGAGGATTGTTTTTGCTATTTGTGGTCATTTATGTTTCCATATGAATTCCTTTATCGTCATTTACAGGTCTGAGAAGAATGTTGCTGGTAATTTAATGGGTATTGCGTTAAATCTGTAGATTGCCTTGGATAGGATGGACATCTCAAAAACGTTGTTTCTTCCAATCCATGAGCATGGAATATTTTTCCATTTGTTTGTGTCATCTTTGATTTCTTTGAGCAGTGTTTTGTAGTTTTCATTGTAAAGGTTAAATTGGAGGAAAGCACCTGTTGCCCAAAACATACTATTGAACAATACCCTGTATGCAATTCTTATTACGTGCTGACTGATCAGTGTAGTTTAATACAACTGTTTTTCCTTCTTTCTCTCTATTTTTCCTTCCAGCACCAAGGAAAAATTGGAGTTAAGTTTAATGTTGGGACAGATGACATCGCCATTGAAGAATCTAATGCAATCATTAATGATGGGAAATACCATGTAGTCCGTTTCACGAGGAGTGGTGGCAATGCCACTTTACAGGTGGACAGCTGGCCAGTGATCGAGCGCTACCCTGCAGGTAAGCAAGTGAATATGTATTGGGAGAAGATTTTATGAAAAACAAACTGGAAAAAAAAGCACTGTTTGCGTCCGTTTCACCAAATTGTGGTTTTCTGAGAAACCATCAAGTATTTATTGAACTTTAGAGTCATGTGAATGTAATGTTGTCCTAAACTGTTCTTGCTGCAGTGTACAAATGGCACTTTATAGGAGCACTTGAAGGTACACATTATTGTTTGCAAAATTCAGGACATTCATGAAACCAGAAAAAAAAAAAACGCACACGTAAAAGGAACAACATGTCAAAGCTCTTTTTACTGGATTCTTGCATTGGAACAAAGGAATGGCTTTGTCAAAAGTAACAAAGTTAAATTAAAGCTATGAGAGAAACTATTTCAACACTTTTTTTCTGAGATAAAATAAAAACTGCCCTAGTCTTTGATGGTGGTACACAACTGAAATTATGGAAGTGCAGGAAGATCATGAGACAAGCAGAGAAATCTTAAAAAAAAAAATGTACTGTAATTCAGCAGTTAGAAGAACATGTACATAAAAGGAGTTTGTTTTCATTTTCACATAATCGTGAAGTTTCATGAGGATTCTGTTACACAAGGACTACTCACTTTAAGTCTATAAAATGAATGTCAAGCCATTATTTATCTAATAAAAATGGTCTTGTTTATTGTTAGTGAGTTTTGCCAATACTATGTTATTTAAACAAAGTTGATAGATTAGATGTAAACCAGTGTGACTTGTGGTTGCATATAATCTAAATTGGAAAACAAAGGTTCTTTTTTAAGTAAAATAGAAATTAAAATTATGAAGGTATTTTTCTGCAGTCATTATCTCCTTTATATTTCAGTACCAAATAGTTTACTAAAAGCATCAGTCTCATTTCTTTCTATTTCTCTTTTAGATATAATTTTTTTTGCACAACACATAATTATAACACAGTAAAAAGAAAAAGTATAAAAATAAATTTTTGTTTTGATCAATAAAAATGATAACCAAGATTTATATGCAAACTTCACTATTAGAATTGCTTCCTGAAAGAAATAATTTGAAAAAATGTCTAATTTATTAAATAAATATCAAATCTCCCTAGTACTGATTCACAATCGTGGAATGAAATGTTTATGATGCCTTTCTGGACCTTTTCTGATTTTTAAAATTCTAAATCTACAAGCCCCAGTCACACCTATCCTATAAGCTCTGCAAATATTTGCTGAATTAGATGTAATAAAAAACTGCTCCATGTCAAAATTCAGAAGCAAGCAAATTAATAACATGTCCAGTACCCATTATAATGCTGGCAAATAGTAGGCACTCAATAAATATTTGCCAAATTGATTTCTTGGGAATTATTGCACTTTTACACCAAAATTATGCGAATCATCTACAATAAGATGGAGACAATAAGATGAAATAATGGAGAATCTGGAATCAAAGTAACTTAAATATTCATGCAGTCTGACGTAGCCCTGCTCATCCTTTATTGCATTCTCTGAAATCCTAGTAAAATATGCTGTTTAAAAATAATAACTACAACCTCAATAGAATTACAGAGAAGAAAATTGGTAATTTTCTTAAAGTATGGATTAATCAATATGTATTTGCTGAGAGAAAATCATTACAGTGGCTGCCATGAACAATATAAAGTAGGGTAAGGTCTGGGCTTTGCCCATGGGATGTTGTCATCTGTGAATAGTAGAAGTGAACATATAAAATGATAACTCTTGTTCCTATTACAGTGAGGCATTTGCCTCTTGAGTTCTAGCTTTAACAGTTAATTATTCAAATTTGTCTTTATTTAGTAATTTTTTACTTGTATCAATACCTTCCAAACTGATTTTTTTAATCTAAAGATTATTGATACTTACACGGGAAGAAGGAAAATCCCAGGCTCACTTGAGTTTGAGAAATTCTTAAATAAACTAAGTTAAAAATATCTGGACTTGGACTTTATTTTATTAATATGCATGATGCATCTCTAAAAGAGAAATATAGGCTCATTACATAAATGTAGATGATGAAAATCTAGTTTTCTAATACATCATTGCATTTTAATAAATATTTTATGTTTTTAAAAATGTCTATATCCCCAGTTTTACAATATTTTATTTGATTGTGCACATACCAGATACCATGTACTGGTGTAATTTTTAATAAGCATGGGTCCCTGTGTTCTTTTAGTGAGCTAATGTCCAATTTGAATACAACTAACTGAGATTGAGGCATCATCACTTAATTAACTGAAGAAATATTTATAAATATTTTTCTAGATTAATATTAACACGTATGTCTTATTTACCAATTAAATATTTGTTCTGATTAAGAAACACAATGCCAAAGTATATACAAATTGGCAGTGAGCAGTTTCATAAGGATTAAGGTGCAAATCTTTAGAAATAGATATTTTAGATACAATCTTTAATATTTAGTCAGATATTCTAAGTGTCCTTCTACCAAGAAGTATTTCAGGCAATCTTAGTAAAACAAGAGTGGGCAAAGTTATAATTATTCTGAAGAATATATCAAGGAAATATAAAGTCTTCTCTCAAGAAAATTGGAGCACCTATGGGGAATATTGATAAATACATATAAAAAATTAATGATCGATGTGTAAAGAATTCAACGTAGTCACCATTGTTGTCATCAAATGTTTTATTAGTCATGTGCTCTGTGTGCATTTTATTGTGATGCTGAGGTAGGAAATGAGTCATGAAATTTTCAGATATCTTTTCTTCTTGGAGCTTCATTTTCAACATTGCCATAATGACAATACAAATTTTAAAGTGTGTATCATCTAGGTTAAAGTTTTTAGGGCAACGTGATTTTTAAATATGAGTTCAAGAGTAAGGTTTAGTGTCTCTTTTATATCAGTTTGTGGTGTGGCTATTTTTATTAATTTTGGGGCTTATTAGTCATTAGAAAAATAGCTACACTAATGCTTTCACCATCAAATTCTATATCAGAAAAGCAGAAACCAGTAGACTATATTTGGTTCCTTTCAAAGTGCCTGTGCTGCAAAATATAGGTAATAAGGGTTGAAATTAGTAATTAAGTATAGCACTTAACCTTCCATTATAGGGTTTTGTGGTAAGTGCTTTTATATGAAGCAATTCATCTGGTAGCAACACTATACCTTTAATGAAAAGCACCTAGAGCATTGACCAGTGGTATTACACTATAATTGTCTGGAAGGTGCTCATAGAGAAACTAATTAGTAGAGGTAGATTTTATGCTCTTTTGGAGTATATAAAATACTTCTATAACTCGACAATTCACATTTTAGAATAAATATTGAATTTCCTGAATAGCAGACCTAGTTTCTATTATGTTCTGTACTAGAGAAAAGTACAGAAATGATATTTTGCAAACCGTTTAAAGTTGAGAAAGCCATTTATTTGTGCTTATCAGTTAAAGCTCTAGAATATAATGCATCATTAATCTCTGATTTGTCCCTAATTACAGTTATGTAACAAAGTTTTCTCTTTCATCAAAAATAGACTCCCACTTCTCATAACATTAATTCATGAAGCCAAACATCATCTTACTTGCCCAGACTAAAAATTACTTCAGATAAATCACAGTAGTGTTTGAGAATAAACCTTTGCTCTTATTTGCCTGCCATAGTATGTCAAAATATATCTTTTATATTCTAACAAGTTCAAATTTCATTTTATTCGCAAGTTAATATTAAATCAACATATATTTAAAGATTGTGTACTACATAAAAAGTACATAGTAAGTTTGCAGTCTGGTTACAGAGATAAGTACAAAGTGTTCAAGATGAAAAGTATAATTTGTAGGAAAAGTACTAGAGTTATCATGTATTTGGCTAATTTCTGAATGAGATGTTCATGGAAAATTGGTTTCAAGGAGGAAGAGATCATTTTTGAGTGAACAGTGTAGTAAGACTATGAAAAAATTAGTAAATTCAATTGGGTCTTTTTAAACATGCACTCATTTAGCAGGAAAATATAGAGATAGTCAAAATATTTAGGAAGCTATTAAACAGTTCAAGTATCAAAAGATAAAGGACTAGTAGGATATGAGGAAACAGGATAAATGCAGACTACATTGTAAGACATAGTGAACAACTGAATTAAAGAAAAGACATTCCCATTTTTTACATACTCTTCTTCTCCCTCTTCCTCTCCTCCTTCTTTTCCTCTTCCTCCTCTTTCCCTTCCTCCTTCACCTCCTTCTTCCCTTCCCCTTCCTCCTCCCCCCCTTTCTCTTTCTCCACCCTCCTTTTACCATCAGCTATTCGATATTCAGTGTTCTAATGCTTCAATGTGTCACCAGAAAGTACTATGTACCAATGGAATAGAAACCTACTGTAGGAACAAATAGGGAAATCAACAATATTGTTCTTGTTTGCTAAGAGGCTCGTCTGGTTGGGAGACAACAAAGATCCAGAAAACCTAAAAATATCAAATAAAATCTATTAACCGTCAAAATTCCTAGTCTAGAGTTTAGTTGCTATTAGATTATTTTAGAAAGGAGAAAACAATGGTTTGTAGAGGTGTAACAAAGCAGATCCTTCAGGGATGAAAGGATTTTAAAAAGAGAAATAGTCTAAGAGAAGACTCTGTAGAGACAGTATAAATACTTTTTGCATAACTACGCTGTTTGGCTGGAAGATCTTATGGATTAACTCTAAACCTTAACTCTGGTTTCAGAATTTCTCTCTCATTCTTACATTGGGGCTTAGGAAAGACAAACTGATTATCTCCCTTTAAATTCTATGTAGTTAATTTAGATTAATTAATTAATTTAAGTCATCAATGATTTATTGATTATCTATATAAGCAACTCTGTTATTTAGGGATTCCTATTTTGGTACTGAAGTGTCGGTTAATTTGATGATATTTTTAAAAATTTTTATTTAACTTAATTTTTACTATATGTGTTGTAATTAAAAAAAATCTACCTCACTTACAGTCCTTACATTTGGAGGAAGGAAGGAACTTCAAAGTTCTATTTCAGCTCCTTAATTTATCAAACAACAAA